CAAAACATTAGCAAAATACCTCAGAAAATTAGCTTAAATGTGTTAGGAAGCTGTTGCTTAACGAATTTTTATGTCTCACGTCGAATTCCAATGGTAAAAAATATATATTTATCTGAGCTGAGCTTTGCAACATTTTAGGAACTTCAACGTCACTCACAGAGATAATTTATTCATCCCACTTGAGTTTTGAACCAACTTTGGGCTGGAAACGGGAAAAAACGAAAACCGGTCCAATTTTGACCAAAACATTTGYAAAATACCTCAGAAAATTAGTTTAATGTGTTAGAAAGCTGTTGCCTAACGAATTTTGATGCAAAACACCGAATGTCAGTGGTAAAAAAAWATATTTATCTGAACTGAGCTTTGCAACATTTTAGGGGCTTCAACGTCACTCACAGMGATAATTTMTTCATMCYACTTGAGTTTTGAACCAACTTTGAGCTGGAAACGAAAAAAAGTGAATACCGGTCCAATTTTGACCAAAACATTTGCAAAATACATCAGAAAATTACCCTAATGCTTTAGAAAGCTGTTGRTTAACGAATTTTGATACAAAACACCGAATTTCAATGGTAAAAATTGAATATATTTATCTGAACTGAGCTTTGCAGCATTTTAGGGGCTTCAACGTCACTCACAGAGATAATNCAAAACACCGAATTTCAATGGTAAAAATTGAATATATTTATCTGAACTGAGCTTTGCAGCATTTTAGGGGCTTCAACGTCACTCACAGAGATAATTTATTCATCCCACTTGAGTTTTGAACCAACTTTGAGCTGGAAACGAAAAAAAGTGAATACCGGTCCAATTTTGACCAAAACATTAGTAAAATACCTCAGAAAATTAGTTTAATGTGTTAGAAAGCTGTTGCTTAACGAATTTTGATACAAAACACCGAATTTCAATGGCAAAAAAAATTATTTATCTGAACTGAGCTTTGCAACATTTTAGGAGCTTCAACGTCACTCACAGAGATAATTTATTCATACTACTTGAGTTTTGAACCGATTTGTGAGAGAAATGAAGACTTCCCGGTCCAGAACCAAGAATGAATCTCTTGCAAATTTCTTCATTATAAGTTCGTAACTGATTTTCTGCTTTTAGGACTTAAAGGTTAAGCGATGGAACAGCATATATTTATAAGCATTCGGACCCGGAAATACGTCACAGCATAGGAGTATTCGGCGATTGTTGCATGTATTAGCATCTGCGTACATTTGTTTTTTCCTTTGCTGTAAAGAAGAGATTTTTATATCAAAGAAAACATGTTGCGCATAGGTTGTAATAAGACCACTTTTCCCTCTTTTATCTTTAAATTTTAATCTGATTTTCGTTTCCATAGGTTTTTAAGCGACTCCATCTTGGAACAGTATCTTTCGGAGAAGACTCCATGGATGAGGTATGTAGCAACAGCAACAGCAACAGCAAAAATCAACGATAGCATCATCGTCAATAATGACAACGACAACAACAACAAATTGATGGTTTTCACAGCCGCCATGTTGAATGAATTTTGCAAAAGATTCTTCTTTAATCTCTTTTATATCATCCAAGATGGCCGCCGTGTCTTCTGTTATTTCATTCTCTTGGGAATGATTGAAAACCAGCAATAAACAAGTGCAACAACTACTACGTTATCTTAAACAACAATATCCGGCAACAACAACGTAACGTTAGCAACAACATTTGCATCCCGTCACTTGCAAAGGGTCTCTTGCATCTGCTTTTCAATCCTAGCTCTCTTTATTCACGGGCAAGGGCGGATCCAGCCAAAATTTTAGGGGGAGCTAATTGAGTGTAGGGGGGCTAATTGAGTTTAGGGGGGGCTAATTGAGTTTCTTCCATCAACACAACGGAAAACAATATAAAAAAGCATCGTTTTATT